TAGCCGTCAGGTTGAATAAGCGAGCAGACAGTTGATTCGCCATAGCCATTCATCAGCCAGAGAAAAGAGAGGAGGGGAAGAATGGAGCTTTCGCTCAGGGCTGTGTCTCTCAGATGCGGGCCCGTGCATGTGCTGCTGTTTCTTTCCACTGAAAGCTGGCCGTCTTTTGTGTGTGTTTTTATGTTTTTACAGACACATGTTGTTGCTTGCGTGTCGGTGGCGTGTGAACAGCGGATACTGACTTTAAATGCACTCGTAAGGATGTGATTTCACTTTAGTGAAGAGTTTCCTCAAGCATATGGCAGCTTATCAATCATTGATCATTTAATTACTTCAGCAGTAATAAAAAGTACAGTACTAATAAGGATAGATAACATTTACATATGCATATTTGTTCCACTGTATACTGTACAATTGCTCAAGGTAGCAAAGAATATGCTTAATGTGGTAACATTAAATTAATTGTTTTTATTTGAAGTAAAATGGTAAAAAGTAAGATTAATTTATTGTTCAAAAGTTTGGGGTCAGCATTTAAAAAAAATAGTTTTAACTTTAAACAGCAAGGATTCACTAAAAGTGACAGTAAAGACATTTAATGTTACAAAAGATATATATTTTAAATAAATTAGGCCACGACTTCTTGAGCAAATCAGCATATTAGAATGATTTCTGAAGGATCATGTGACACTGAAGACTGGAGCTCTGACATCACAACAATAAATTACATTTGAAAATATATTCAAATAGATAAAAATGTTTTTTTTTATTTTAATATTTCACAATGTTATAAAAGCACCATAAAAGTGGCTTGCATGAATAGTGCGCTATATTCTAAGTCTAGACGTGGGCTTTGAAAATCTGTGAAAATGACTTGAATTTAGATTTTTGGAGTTTGACCATCCCCTCATCACCATAAACTGAGAAAAAAGAGCATAAGGATTTGAAACTGTGATGAGTGAGTGAGTGAGGGTGACTAAATAATATAAATTTTTGAGTGAACTTCCTTTAACTGACGACTGAATCACTAACTGCTTATAGGGTGCTTGCTTTGTACAGTGTATATAATGGCAAAAGTGTATTAGGAATGACGAAATGAGGAATGAAGAGTTGAGGCAGGGGTAGTCAAGCCCACGGACCTCTGGCTGAACGTCTGATGCATATGGCACACAAAAGTGGAAACACTTCAGGAGTTTCAAAGTCGTCATCAGATTGGTTGAATTAAACAGGATTTTTAAGGAGACGTGTGTCTCACGTTCTTTAACGTTCCCCCCGCCGTGACGCCAAACCCCCTCACGAAAGAAGAAAGCTGTCGTGTTTATAACTGTGACGACGAGCACTTATCAGGATCAACTAAACGCTGGATTTTCAAAAGTATGTGAAATATTCAAAGTTCGTGGCATAGAATCTTTAAAATACATCCGAGAGTTTTACACACTGGTCTGTTATTGTGGCGACATTTCCACACCCTCGAAACGTGACGCTGAACGCAACGAACTGTGATTGGTTGTTTGACATGTCGGTCAAACAACCTCATGGTCGAGCCTTGGCCAATAAAAGCTGCCATGGATTCCAGACCTTCAGCCGTCAGTCTGAAGGTCTGGCTACGTGAGACTAAGGCAGGGGTAACAGCCACAGATGTGTCAGAGGAAGGTTCCTCAGGAATCTCAAATGAACGGTGGCTGTATCCCAACTGTGGAAACCACTAGAATCACAAACACCCAATCATAACCACTGTCAGTGACCATAACTAGTGGACAAGGATGAAGTCTCTATAGGGGATGCATATTTTTGAAGAACTTGAGTTGTAAAACTTGTTTTAGGCCTATGTAACGTGGACATGCTACAGTTTAGTGTTCATTGTGTCTTCATTTCAGAAACACTGCAGAACAAAGGAGCCCTTCACCCTGTGCAAGCTGTATCACTAAGCTTTACATTTCAGCTGAATAGAAACGTTTGTGCCCGTTCTCCATTCGGTTTTTATCGTATGACCACATCTGTACTCGCATTTCTCATTACACAGACTTTAGCTTTGCTGGATGGGACATTTCGTGTAGCATGTCCAACCAAGCCTGTTTCTTCTTGGCTCCTCTCGTTTCAAACCTGGGGGAATCACATCTCTGGAACACACCAGAATATTTTCCATAATTTAACATGACAACGCTAGCCTCAGCACCTGCTATCGTGCTCACAATCGTAAACTCGCGCCAGGGCCCCCCTTTTATTTCAGCCATAATCAGCAGTTGAGAGTACCAGGCAGGATCTACTCAAAAATGGGACCAGGAGGGACTTCCCTTTGTCTTCCCCAACCAGACATGCTTCAGACAGGCCTCTAGCGTAGGATGGACCCCTGCATCCAACAATGGCCGTGTTGGACTCCCCGCAGCTCAGAGGAGGTATAGACATGAGCTATTGTGACAGTTCTGGTGCGAGAGGCACAATGCAATTGTAGTTTGGGGGGATTTGAGATCCACCAAATTTTTAGGAAGGCCATAGAGACAATATGGAGTTTGAAAAATGATGGATAACAAATGAGTTTCATCATTGGTAATTGTGATTTTGAATAAAAAAATATGCCATTTGTGCATTGAGTGGAAATCTAAAACTGATGTTAATTTATATCAAAGTTTTGGCTTGTTTCATTTTGCTTGTTTTAGGACAAATAATGCATTAAAAATCTAATTGGTTGCAGTCAAACAAGTGATTAATCTGTCGTCTGTCACATCACACTGAGAACAAAAGACAATCAAGCTCTTCTATGTCAGTATTGATGCCTGTTAGTGGTTTGGTTACTGTCTCTGTGCATTTGGATAAAATGCACAATTTGGTTTAGGAATTGAGTGCACACACGCGTACTGACACACACACAGAGAGCTCAATTTGAAAAATGCACTGATCCTGCATTGATGGAGCTACAAGATGAGATGAACTGTCTGGGGATAAGTAGGTCAGCAGAGCTGAGGTAAGCCCTCCGAGAACAGCCATGTTTCAATAATAACCCCACTGCTGACGTGTGTATATGTATGCATGTGTGTTTATGTAGTGTGTGTCCTTACACATCTCCCAAACCTCTTGGTATCATAGTTACGGCGAATTAATGCTCAGCTCATTGGTTTGCCAAACAGCAAAACACTATTCATTACCAGCTCAGCATGTTCAGTTCCGTTATTATGCGGTTAAGCCCTCATCCATTCCATTGTCACAGAGGCTACACTGTTTACATGCTATCCAACAAACAAAATCAAATAATCAAAGGAAATAAACTAGATAAGTAGGTAAACATTGGATATAAGTCGAGATAAATGGATGATGGGACCTCAAGGAAAACTTCCAATTTCCTAAACGTCTCCTCTTTAAATTTCTTACCTGGCATTTTATAGCACAGCAAGTTAACTTACCGTAAAAGATGAACTGTGGAGAGGCGAGTGCTTTTTGTGCGTTAGAATGTGTGTTTGTGTGAGGGGGATGTGGGGCCAGTGGTGAAATGTAGTTGGTATATAATGGATTATTGATTGTTGGGAGAGAGAGAGAGAGGACCGGCCCTCAGGGTTCATCCCAACTGGCCCCTCTCTTGCCAAACGCTGAATAGTCTCTTTACGCCTCAGCAGACACACACACACACGCACGCACATGCGCACAATGAATTTAGGCTTGTGAGCAGACAGCCACTGTTCATACGGACTACGAGATGGGACTAACTGAGACTTACTGTTGTCCTTCAGGCAAAGAATCACACAAACCCACACAGATGGGCTGAAATATAAGGTGGATGGGGGCAAGTTGTCACACATACCTTAAAAAAAATACTGGAACATTCCCAGTTATTGCCCAGAGGGAAAAAGATACAGCTCTCTGAACACATGTTGACCTTAGTGGGGCATGTTGTCACATTCTTTGGGGTCACAATGGAAACTTGCCACTAAACTGCCTATTATAGGAATTTTAGCTCAATTTAATTCACTTAAAAGAGAAATTGATAATTATAAAACTCAAACCATTGTTTTGGTCTGTAAATATTTTAATATAACAAACTGTATAAATTTGAAACATTTAAATTCAAAATATATATTTTAAGAGTATTAAACACATTTGTGTAACTGGACTTTTGACTTAAAACTCTAATATTACTGAGATATTACCTCTTGTTACAGTACTCAGACTCGGTCTCTACTGTGATGTAGAGTGTATTTATTTTAACTACATTAACCAATTGCACAAACTAGATTAACAGATATTCTAACACATGCTGCACATTATAATAATCATTCAGTCAGCATAAGCATTTTTGAAGAATGCAAAAAAGGTTTGCTATGTTTAGATTTGATAGAAAACAAAACAGAATGGCAGGAAATCCTGATTCTGGACTGGGGTGTGTATGTTTTTGTGGATTTACAACAATTAATACCCTGCTTGTTCTAATATTGAGCAGCGTATTTACTGTATCTGCATTTATGGTCTTGTTAGAATAATCAGAAAGCATGTCGGATAAGTTAGTGTGTTTATGCAATACTTAAAGATGTGCCATTTCCTCTGACTCTTAAATGAGGACATCAGCAGTCTCTCGCTCTATCTCTTTGTCCCTCTCCCACTCACTTGTAAATGGTGCAGAGCATAAAACCCAATGTACTATGTCCTCTGTATTCAGCTATGCAGTATGGATTCTGCCTTAAATGAATAGTTTTGACTGAACAAAAGACTGTCAGATGACATTATATAAAAGGACTCTGTTAGCTGGGGGTTGTCTCAAACACTGGGCCCAAGTTCTTTCCATGTAACAGTTTTGTATCTCTACCGCGTTTGTGTATAGCACTTGCTTCATAACAGCAATTTGTAACGAGACTTTTACAAAAAAAAAAAAAAAAAAATATATATATATATATATATATGTATATATACGTATATGCATAGTGCCTAATTTGCCTGGATTAATGAATAACTTTTATTTACTCATTTGCAAGTCTTGCTCTCAACTTTGCTTCTGTTCTGTCTCTATTTCCTCTTAGGTGACCAGAATGAAGCAAACCCTCAGTGTGTAAGATGATTCATAGGAGAAAAAACTCCAGACATATTCCCAACAAAAGTAACACTGTCAAGACAGAATTACCAACAATGACACATTTGACAAAGAGAACTTTTACCCAGACCGAATGACTACAGGCGAGACAGACTTAATAGGATCTAATAATTTGGACAACAGATAGCAGCATAGTGGAATATTCAAGCCTTGAGATGGAGGTGGAACGGCCGGACGTTGTAGAGGAAGAGTCCTTCTCCAAGGGTGGCCAAGACAACCCTGATGGCAAGAAGAGCAGGGGTCACACTTGTGAACTCTGTGGAAGAAGTTTTCCTTTCCTCAGCTCCTTGTCCCAGCACATGAGAAAGCACACTGGGGAGAAACCATACAAGTGTCCTCACTGTGAGCACCGCTCAGCCCAGAAGGGTAGCTTAAAGGCCCACATTCGCAGCCACAAACTGGACGGCCTCAGCCAGAGCACCGGCGGTGAGGAGGAAGATGTGGACGAAGAAGGGGAAAAGGAAGGAGGGGTGCCAGAAGATCAAGGTGGTTGCTCCAGTCCGACCGAGAGTACCTCGGCCTGCAACAAGGTTGTGAGTGGTGAGGAGTCGACCAAATCGAGGAAGAAAGGTGGGAAGAAGGAAAGAACCTCTAGTGAGAATGACAAACAGTCAGTGCAGTGCTCTCTGTGCATAAAAAGATTGTCCAGTCAGGCAGAGCTTGAACAGCATATGCAGGAGCTTCACAAGTTCTTCCGATGTGAACTGTGCCCTTATGAGACTTTGCAGAAGGACAAACTGCAGGCTCATGTTGAGAAGGTACATCCTATCGAGGAGGAATCTATCACCAAAGAAGTCTCTATAAGCGAGGAAGCTGACGGTAAAGGCGAGTTCTCATGTGAACAATGTGACCAGGTGTTCACACAGGCCTGGTTTCTGAAAGCTCACAGAAAAAAGCATCAGAACAGTCTGGATCATGGGTGCCGGATCTGTGGACGCCGCTTTCGTGAGCCCTGGTTTCTACGTAGCCACATGAAGACCCACAACACCAAGGTAAAACCAAAGAGTGATGCCTACCTTCCGGCTACTGTCAATGAGGTGGCGCAGGACGAGTCCAACTTGGTGAACGAAGTGTGTGTGTATGAACTCTGTGCCAAGTGTGGAAACTTCTTCCACAACCGCAAGAGCTTGCTGTTGCACGAACAGGTCCACAGAAATGTTGAGCAGCCTCCTAACAATACCTTCTGCTGTGATAAGGACTTCACATCTGTCACCAAGACAAGCTTCTTGGAATGCCTAAACTTGAAACCAGCAGGAAATGAAGAGAACCCCGCTGAGGGAACTCTAGGAAAAAGAATCCCGGAGCTTGATCCAGTAAGTAGCTACCAGTCTTGGCAACTGGCCACCAGAGGCAAAGTGGTGGAGGTAACGGAGAAGAGCCTGGGTTGGGAAGAGAGATTAGCCGATGCAGATGTAGCATACGACAGGGAAAAGGGCGAGTATGTCTTGCTCAGACAGGACAAGCGGAAGAAGTCGCTTGATTCAATGGCGAGTATCCCAACCAAGAAACGGAGAGGGGCTGGGACCCAAGGCTCCAATACAGATCACCACAGCAATGGAGAAAGGAACGGCCAGGTCTCGACAGGTGAGCGAAGCCCAGAGAATCTGAGTGACACTGAGTACCGCCCTACTTCTCGCCCTAGCCGTAAGAATTCCCAGAAAACCTCAGAGTGCTTGGAGTGCGGAAAGGGCTTCCGCACACAGCAACAGATGGTGATCCACATGCTCATCAGACATGGTGGCTTGGGTGAAACCATTGGTGGAAATGGACTGTTCCGTAAAGCAACGTCCAGCCCATCTAAAGCAGGCGAATCAGCAGGACTCTTCAGGGATCAAAAACAAACAGGGTTATTTAGGGACACAGGTAAGAGCATCGTTCTTATTTTGGATTTTAAAGCAAGCCCAAAGTTTAAGCATAATCTCAGGAATGTCTTCTTAATGTTATAAACTTCAAGCAAACATGTGATTGCATATCATAACCTCAGTTCGCACTACCACACTCACAAATTGTAAACAACAGACAGTATTCATGCATTGCTGTGCAGATGCTCAACCTCTGGCATAGTTTTTGCTTTCGTGTTGAACAGCTAATGTTTAAATTCACTGAAAAGAATGTAATTTTATTTGAATCTGTATGCTACTATAAATCTACTTTACTGCAGAGATTTCAATTTTTATCCCTATTCAACACCTGCCTACAGTACCATTTACAAGTGAACATACAGACCTTGATTAGTTGACTCAGGTGTGTTCGATTACAGTTAAAATTAATTGCGACTGTGCTCCAAAGAATGTGTAAACTTCTCAACTGGCAGCTGGTACCTGATTAGAAATGATGCTACGATGATTAACTAAATAAATTTTCGCAACATTTATAAAGAAATTTTAGAAATGTAATTTGAGTTTCCTGTGGAGTTCTAATCAAACACACTTGAACCAGCAAATCAAGTTTTCGGGTTCACTCGATCATTACTGGAAGGTGTGTTAGACTAAAGGAAGATATCCAGGAATAGGATATGAGAATGGCTGGCTTAACAGATACATTATGATATACGGTTTCTGAGGCTAAACTTATGGAGGACAGAGACACCTTGTGGACAAGTGCTGCAGAATTTGACATGTTCAGTTATATTGTAGTGTTTGTGCATAGCTTAAATCTTTATGGCATTTGTTCACTTGTTGTTTAATTTATGGAAGCATGGTCTTTGCTTCCAATTGAAAAATAACATATTTTAATCTTTTTGCACAAAAAACCCATCAAGTATAGAACCTTTATGATTTCCATTTGTTGTAGCAGTTTATTTTATTTTTCTGCCTCTAATCTTAAAACAAAAATTACACTTGTTGAAAAGGACCTCAAGACATTTAATTCAGCTCTAGTTTCCAGTCTAAGGATTTGGGTTGTTATTTTTAATTTTTTTAAAGTCTCAGTATCTTCTTGTTTATACCTCATACATTTGTTTTCTGTCATCTGATACCGTGAAAAAACAGCCTGTATTAGCTCTTTGAAGCATGTTTTTAATTATCAAGGTGCAAAAGCAGGCTTTGAATTGTTAAATCTTTTGCTTGTGGCTGGAGCTGTCCAGCCCTCTTTGCATGATGCTATTTCTGGACTTCCTGTCTCAGGAAGACAAGCTCTAAAGATTTGTGTCTTTTTTTTCCACTTTCCCCATCTAAGTGCAGACCTTCGGTTAAACACATTGCTAAAACCACTGGAAAATACAATGGCAGGAGTTGCAACAATATGCCCCAATAGAGCACTGAATCTGTCCTGATAATTAATAATTCCTGTCATATTTAGTGGAAACTTGGGGTGTTATATTAATCGTCTATAACAGAAGACTTATAGTAGACTTGTAGGTCTGATAAAATTGCCCTTCATTACCACAAAATTAAGTAAAATAAAATTGCCTTAAACAAAAGATGCCTTCTTAGGGATTGACACAGATGGAATGTTCCAGAACAGAGGTTTCATTGTGTAAGAGTTGAAACCGATGTCCACTCACTACTGATATTTTCATGTTGGTGTGAAGACTGTATAATGCTCTTCTACACTACTTATCTACTCTAAGAGATTCATAATAAGACCAAATAATACTTAGAATATGATAGTTCCTCTTGTAGGTTTTCTACTGAAGGACAGAAAGAATGTAGGGAAGCAGACATGGCCATTACGTTTGTGTAAAGTTTATCTCAGTGGACCACCCCCCCCCCACCCCCCTTCCGAATTGGCTCAAAAATAACCTCAGAGAGGTTGGAATGAAGGCTGCACAGCAGCTAGTGTAAGCCACCAAATGCAATCCAGATGGCTTGAGAGAGAGAGAATAGAAAGAGAGAGAGCTACTGAGAGATTGCAGACATGTTAAATGTAAACAAACATCTTGCTGACAGATGAAAAGAGGTAGTCCCAGGCAAAGTTCCCAGGCCCAATAGTCTGTTGCTCCATTGTACTACTGTTAAACAAACTGTGTGATTATGCTACTACTGTTAAAGTTTTTGATCATTTGCAAGTGTTATACAATGCTATAGAGAGTTTTTAAATGTTGCATATTAAATGTTGTATTATTTTAGACAATTAAATTGAATATGCTGTAGTTACATCGACATATATCTGTTACATCATGTTTATGTATTATCAATGTTAAAAAGTTGATAATACATTTCGCTGCTTAATATTTTAGTGGAAACCTCTTATTTGTCTGGATTCTTTGGCGAATAGAACACCCAAAAGAAATATTTAAAATTGAAATACATCTTTTTAAACTCCCTTTATTTTTTCTTTTGATCAATTTAATGCATGCTTGCTGAATAGAGTAGGGAAGCTCTTTTAGAAAAATTGTACTGAGCCCAAACTTTTAGTGTTTGTGTACTTGCTCTTACCTCTTTAATTAATTTTCTGTCATTAACATAACCTAAAAGGTCTGTACAGTATTAGTACGGGTACTGAAGTAAAATGAATAGTTATGTGGTTCCATCTTGTGGTGAAACTCCAAAACTGTTTTGAAATCCAGTGAATTCAGTGTTGTTCTGATTGCTGGCTTTTGTTTCTGAACATGTTATTGTTATGTAGTTACAAATCCATATTTGTTGTTTTCATGACAGATAAAAAGCCATACACCTGTGAGCACTGTGACTTTTGCACCTCAGAGCCCTCGGCCATCGCTGCCCATGCACAAACGCATCATTTGGCAATCAGGAACTGGGGCCAGAGGAGTGATGCCTTAACCAGCTCACTCAGCCAAAGCCAACCTCACCAAACCAACCACACAGGCTTCCCAAGGCTGAGAAATGCCCTGCTGCAGCAGCCCTATTGGCCCTACACCAGCTCAACTCACCTGGAGAGGGCAGCACTGAGTGATGCCACGTCAAATGCTGAGGAAAACAACAAGGGGTTGGAAGAAAGTAGCACCACGGATAAAGCAGATGCTAATCTGCTTAATCTCTCCATGGAGGTGGATGATGAAAAAGAAGAGGTTTCTTCCATGTTATTGAAAAGTTTAGTTCGACACCAGTGTCCTTATTGCTCGTATGCAACACTCTATCCAGAAGTTCTCTGGATCCACCAACGAATTGCACATAAAGTTGACAGCACTACGTTGGTGCCTAAGTGGGCCCCGAGAAATGGCCTCAAGGGGCCCAAATCACTTCTCGATTTCAAGAGACGCACTGGACCACCTCCGTTTCTGGAGGGTAAGGATTGCCCCTCTCTGCCGCAGATGAGAACTTCCCGAACGAGTCCACCTGATTGCAGCCCTGGAGGGATGAAGAAATCAAAACCTCAGACAAGTAGCGTAGAGTCCAGCTCCTCGCAAAGCAAGAGCTGGCACACAGCCTCAGCACCGGGGGCATCATCTCACTCGTCCAAACACAAGACCAGCAAGTCCAGGACAGATGAGTTGGCAGGCAGTAAACACAAAGCAGACGTCCATCAAAACAGTTCCTCGCGGCCTACGGCAAGTCCTCAGAAGACTGGAAACCCAAAGACAGGAATCAGAGTGATGGAGAGTGGTCTGCTACCTCAAGAGGGACTTCATTTTATGCTCTCTAGCAAACACAAACTCTCAGATCACAGGAGCTCCAAAGCCCATGCTCCTCAGATCCCCAGCAGGTCTGATTCTCAAGCTCAGGATACACCGTCCATTGCTGGGTACGACCCCTGGAGCAGACTTGGCTTGAGTGGCCCATCCTCTCACTCCCAGTCCAAGAGACAGTCGACGACCGATGGTCTAGAACCTGTGACAGACATCCTGAGTTTCTTGAAGAACTGTAATCCTCATGATCTAGCTGCTCTCTACCACCACTGGGGCTTCAACAGCACCATGGCAGAGCAAGCAGGTAAGAGGGTGTATAGAATTCTCCATTGACATTCATAACCAGTATTATGAGATGCTGATTTTTATTGTTTATTTTTTTCCAACAAGTTCAACCCCAAAAGTATTTGGACAGAAACCTTCAAAAATTTAAGATTTTCATCAATCAATCAATAGCATTTTTTGTGAAATCTTTTGATTTGAAAAGGCGTTTGGTATGATGTTATCATCTATGCACTGATGAAACATTAGGCAAGTGAATAGGGATTTGTGTGTCCAAATACTTTTTGAGGTCCCCCTATGATTTATTTTGAGCGTAATTTACTTTTTCTGAAATTGATTACTAAACTGATATAAAGAAATCATATTAATTAGATTTGCAGTTGGTTAGCGCACAGTGCACACTGGACTTCCATATTCCTCTGTACGTTTGTGATTATGACTGGAAATATTAAATAAGGCAAGATGCAGATGTGCATTTATTAAGTCAAATACCAAATTAAGCCAAATTGTGCAAAGACCATTTGCATACCTCAGTCAACAACAGATATAGAAACCTTCAAATGGAACTGTGAATGCACATTAATCATTTACCGAAATATTAGGCGGTACAACACAAATAAATAAATGTGAATTAGAAAATGGCCATTATTATAAAAAAAAGTGATAGAAAGTTGATTAAAACATTTTTTGTACTGTTGCCAAAGCTTGTAGCATCAGATGTTTGCTAGGTCGAGGGATATAATAATATCAGTGTTTCCCCTGCCATTATTTTAGGGGGGCGCCCCCGCCCCCCTTGAAGGTCAAGTTAATTTAATTTTATTATATTTTCTCTATAGCGCCAGATCACAACAGAAGTCATTTAAAGTTACCTTTCTTATAGAACATGTCTATACCTTGTTCTTTCATTAAGCAAACTAAATAGCCTTATGTTATTTATCTTATTTACAGGACGGCATGTCATTTCAGTCTCTAGTTATGGTCGCGCTCTCTGTATCACGCACAGCGGAGTTCCGCCCGATGCGCACGCTCACACACACACACAAGTGAGCCCACTCCCACTAGTATTTGTAAATATTAAGCCGCAAAACAATTCATATTTAAATATGAATTCTGCGTGTCTCTGTGTTAATGAATGGCGCAGACGCGCGGGTTTGTGTAGTACTCGTACTGAAACGCTCGTGACGCTTGCGGTGATATTAACCTCTGCCGTCTCACTAATGAGGACATAAATACATGAACAACATCTCCAGAACTGCTCTGAGAGTCACTTCATGAGCATTTGATCGTTTAATTTGAGTAAAACTATCCTCATATCATATATACTCAAAGAAATGTAAAGGTATTCACGGTTCGGTTTAACTTGAGGGCATTGGCAGAAATATATTACTGTTGTTGAGTAGAATGTAAGTAACAGACTGCTACTACTACTAAAATGATTAAAACCTTATTTTTAAGGAATAAGCATTCAATATTTCTTCAATGTTTTAATTGTAATATCAAATTACCTTTATTTTTCAAAAATTTTAATTTGTTTAATTCCCCCCCCAAAGCCGTAAACCTAGGGGAAACACTGAATATATATATATATTAATTTATTGGTATCTATCAGTATTAGATATTTATTTGTGTATGCTCATTTCCCCATTTGACAGCTTTGCTGTCATCTAACACTCACCTAAAGTTAATCTTTAATAACACTGATCATTTAATAATGCTCTTTATAGGGATCTTTTCAAATCTCAAAATGACTTAATTTTTCAAAATGTTGTAAAGCCTACCATTAAAATGAATTGATTTTAGTTTTGAAGTGTTTTATTTTTATTTGATTTGACACATTTATTCAGACAGAATTTATCGGTTTATCGGTAGTTAGAATTTCACCAGTAACACTAACTTTACAGTGCATTTGTAGAAAAAAACAGGTAAAGATTGACATGCTGGGAAATGGTTGTCAGGTCACAGTACTTGAATTATTCAGCGAAGGCACATTAACTACATTTACTCTTGAGTTGAAATGACAAATGAGAACAGTGAGGGCTAAAATGGCACGTAGCACCCCACACATACACACACCGCCCTGCCAGCATGCGCATACTCAAAGGTTAATGGAACTATTGAGTAATCTCTTCATCATCGTGTAACCTACGAAAGTGTGTAAAAACATTTCAGACAGCTATTGCTGAGAGGCATTGCGAGCTTTAAACATCAGGCTCGTAACGGCACGCCAGGCGCTCTCCGAGGGTTTACAGCGCCTCGATGCCACAAATATGCAAAACAGCACACTCAAAGAGTGAACGAACGAAAGAGCAAGAGGAGTCAAATTAAGCCACCAGCTGCTTTGAAAAATATTTTCAAATGCCTTTTTTCCATTCCACTTCATTTAAGGACATTTTGTCAGGCGGTGGTCCAGTTGACCGGCATCAGTGAGCGTAGTTCTGCAGAAAGACAGTGGAAATTTCTGTCAACTGTCTGGCCTGATATCATCAGTGCTCTCTTTAGCCCTTTGAGTCACATACAATAAAGTGACCTTTCCAATATTAGACTTTCCTTTTGTTTGTGCTGTCCGCTGCTTTTCCTGTTGCGTCGCTCCGGTATGGTAATAACTCACAGACTCATGTTTACTAAACGTAGCCTTGCTAACTACTGCCACCAACACTCTCAGTCACAGCTCGGTGCTACAACAAAGCGGGGCCTGAGGGGTCGGAGCAGGTAGGACCACCAGTGCCAGGTGACGGACAGGAGCCAAAGGGACAGCATTTCAGCTCGTGCTCTTAAAGCACCCTAAGGGGAAATGAGATGCTGGGTGCTTCAGGTTCCACATCCGTTCCTGTTACTTCAGCGAGTCCTTCATCGACGCACACGTGTCCGAGCGATTCCCCCCACGCGGACGAGGGCTGACTTAGCTAGAGCGACGGGGAGGAAAAGAGCAGCGAGAGGGAAGGAGACAAGGAGAGAGGGAGGAAGGGGAAAGCAGCACACCTGACATGTGACATGGTAGCGCAGATGGGGGCACATCACAGGGCAAGGCTTTTAATTCACAGTAATTTATGCGGTCACATGGGCCTGTGTTCATGTCAGGCTGTCGGAGATGCTCTCGTGATGCGGCGTGACAGCTCCCCATCCAAGCCCTGAAGGTAGCCTCCCATAATGACACATAAAACATACTAATGATGCTTCCTCTCTCTCTCTCTCTCCCTCCGTCTCGTAACCACTCTTTCTGTTCCATGTAAGTTTGCATACATGTTTTTCCTATTAATTTTAATTTCTCTTTCTCTGTTTGTGTGTGTGAACTGTAGGGTTGGCGAGGTCAGGGTCTCAGCAGGGGGAGTATGTGTGTCCAGTGTGCAGGAAGAGCTTCAACCAGCCCAGCCATTACCGCACACATATGAGATCACACACAGGTGAGAAACACACACTAGAAACAAACATACACACCAGCGCTGGACAGCAATTAACTGAATCTACTAACTGAACTTTTTTTTCATTTCACATTATCACATTATCATTACAAATGTAATGAAAAAATATATTAAAATTATAAGATACTATAATGCAATTATTATACTGTATATTTCATATATATTTAAATGTACATGCATGCATTTATGTGCAAGTGTGTGTATGTATAACGAGCAATCTCTCTCTGTCCTTGGACGAGACTCTTTCTTTTTTTCCGCCGCAAACATATTTGCGTGTGACTCTGACCTGTGAAAATTGTATACATTATTAATCAGATGTCACTTATGGAGCTGTAATTGTGCATGCTAATAAGCTCAGCAGTCACCAGTCCAGTATTATGTGTGTCAAATGCTCGCTGAGAAAATGTGACAGTTTGCCCTTGTCTTCTCGTCAAACCACACACACACACATACACAAACCTACTCAATCAGGAGTCTTCATTTCATCACAGAAAAGATTATATCCATCATTCATGTTTAACAACAAACTGTCATACAACATAATAAATCTGTGTGCCATTTTATGTTTGCATTATTTAGATATGATGCATTGCAATTGTATTTTGTATCAATTTATGTAAAAAATTTGAAGTGACCTTTGATATGAGTATTTACTAAAGTTACCTCCTGGTTACGGGGTGGGGGGGGGAGTGCTACTACACGTCATTAGCATGCACCATAGCAGCTTTTTAATGATATATAGAGGTCATGTACCATTCGCAGTAGTCCAAATGAATAGGATTTCCTCCACTCTTTTAAACAGGGCACACTTAGATTATGACTAGGACTTGAGTTTTTATTTTTTTTTTAAGAGTGTGTGAAGGTTGCGCATGCTAGCCATACTGATCCCCAGTGACAGAGGCCAAATGCTACATTTTACGGAGCTCCCTCTCTCTCTACACATGCACATAGACTTACAATCAACGTCATCAGTGATTGCTCTCTTCAGTGTGAGCTTTCAAATGAAGCGGGGCAGGGGCCCCCGGCCTCCATTAGCATGCACACTAACTCTGTGTGTCACTTTAAATTGGTAGTTTCAGTTCACTGTCTGCCGCGGCCACGCTAACTGGTGATGCTAATTCAAGGCCTTTACGGCTAATGCTCGATGAGCGGGTGGATTCTGGGTTTGCACCTTAGCGTCTTTAAAATGGATTCCTGCAATTCTTCCTTTTGAAAGTAACCAAGAAAGCAGAAACATCATTAAAGTCAACCTGAAATGTATTAGCAACCAATTTTATTTCTGTAATGTGATGTAAGTCCCAGTGGAAAAAGGATATTCAATGAGATAATATAATAATTTTATCATTTTTATTAGCCCAGTTGATTGGTCTTTATTTCATGTGGTTGTAGGGAAAAATAAGGGCTTGGTGCAGCAATTTATTATATTTAGAATTTTTATTTTGCTTTGGAATGAGGTGGACCAATGGGGCAATCATAAATAGACCAGGTGATTCAAAAATTAATGGGGTAAATTTTGATTTCATGTTGATTTAAAAGTTACATTTTTACTAGAATGATCTTTGTACCCTGCTGGGTAACCATACAAGGGAACAAGTTCCAATTTTTGCAACATTATAAACTTGATTACCTCTGTTTAACCCGGCCACCTTGCTCCCACAGTGATGTTTGAGTCCAATGGACTCATGGGAACTGGAGTCCATCCTCTACAGAAGCCCCCAAACAAGTATGTTTCACTTTTCGTTCGGTTGTTTGCATTATTTGTGTGTATCTTGTGTTGTTTTTTTTCTGTCCTGTCAGTCATTTTTTCATCTTTCTTCATTCTGAGATTTGCAGTTTTTACCTGCCACCGTTGTTACAGTGCAGAAAGTTCTAGAAATAAACCAATGCTAGGGGATCAAATGGATTGCGTCCCGCCTTAACAATCGGAGATGCGCATTGCTGCAGCAGGGAGGCCAATCCTTAATGAATTACCCCCTTTGCATGTGTTGCATATTACAAATGGCAAAAGCAGGCCGAGAGTAAAGGTCAAATTAAATTTGTGCCACACTCTCTGTGATGTTCTGACAATAACCTTTAATGTAATTTGGTGGGTTCTGTTTTGGATCGGGGTTTCACTTTCTACTCCTCTAGGGAACCACGGTGCCCCTGGATGAGCTCTTACTGTGCCGCAGACCTTATCAGGCAGCCAGCGCAACCCAGTCTCAGATAGTCCTGATTAATTGTGTCTGTCTTCATTTTTTATGAGGCATGATTTATGATAATACCCCTCTTTCAGCCCCTCGGAATGACAATTATTTCCTAGTGGATAATTCATTCATTTTTCAAAAATAATAATACGGAGAAATTGAATGGCAGACTCATTTGTTTTGCTCAGGTGTGGGGGGATATTTTTACGCGATTGCACGAGGACAGCGTTGTACATCAGTCTAATTAAACGCTGAAACTGGGACTCTGACAATTATTCCAGTGTTGAGCCCCAAACAGACATGGGCAGAAGGAGAAACTAGGTCTGTGTGTGGTTGTCAAGTTCGCCTCTCCTCGCAAAACTTGATATGCCCAGACTTTCGACATCTACCATCGGTGTGACGTCTTATTGCTCAGGGGAAGGCAGGCAGGCAGAGATTCCGGTGTCTGTGAGTTTGTGTGTTTGTACGAACAGCTGACAGAAACAGAAAACAAAAGGCTGACATCCCCTCGGGGGGGAACAGTCAACCGTCTCCATATGGCATGTCATCAGCCCATCAATCATGCCGCGGCCCCTCCCCCCCCACCTTCCCAACCTGCCTCTGTTCTTTCCTCTTGAAACGGGAAGGCAGCGCTCTCAAAGCCAGCCCTCCAACATCACTGCCACGTCACCTCTCTCTCCTCTCTGGTTCCAGCCTCGGCTCCGCTCTCACCTTGGGGTCCAGGCTCTGACCTCATCTTGTTTTTTGTGTGTCTGTTTCAGGTGAGCGACCTTTCCAGTGCCGATACTGTCCTTACAGCGCCTCGCAGAAAGGTAACCTGAAGACCCATGTCCAGACCGTGCACCGTCTAGCCTTCGACAATGCGCAGTACCTGGACAGGAGACTCCGCCAAGCCCCTACCAATGAACCCACGGACCCTTCCGGATCTCACTGAGCATGCCCACCTCCTCACGACCAGTTCAAATGAGGGCTGAAATCTATAGAAGGTCCATCAAAACACTTTGATGCTCAAATACGGCATTCGAGGAAGACGTAACGTAATGTACAGCATTGGATTCGTTCGTGTTTTTAGTTTAGTTGGACTTTCCGTGTTTCCTTTTTATTTTCACCCGACACAAAGCTCTAGATTAAACTGAAAGGGGGTGACACATGTTTACACCTCCTTTATCCAGAGACTTATGAAAAAACTTGAGGGCTAAAGCCTTGACAACACGAGGTCAGAGCTGATGGAGTAGGACAGTGAGCTGTGTTCTCAAACCCAAGGACTTCAGCTGATCCCCTAAACTTGAAATGCTGCCTCCGAGTTCCCCGATTGACTAGTTGTTAAAAACAAAATAGCCTTAGTGCGCAAGGAGTGTAGTTTGTGCGTGCGTGTGCGATTGTGTTTTCCACATTCTACTTCTCAGGACTTGAGTTAGACACAATTCCAAAGCCTGCATTCGTTCACACAAGTGTGTAACTGCACGCGAAGGAGACATGCAGTGAAATTCATTACTTAGTTTTGTTGATTATAAGCGCATATATATATATATATATATATATATATATATATATATATATATATATATATATATATATATATATATATAGTTGAGTGTTTGAGTGTGTTGAGTGTGTTTTGTCTCTGGTTGGGCAACACTTGGCACTATCATCAAAATATGTCCTGAACACCTTTGTATTGTGTCAAACTTGGAATTTAAAGTATTTATGTAAGCACAGCTGTAATGTTACATAGGTTTCCACTTGCGTCGAGTGTCATATTCATAAACCATCTCTCTGAAGAGTTTAAGGTAAAGTCACATGCAATTTTGCATTAGTGTTATCTGACTGGTCCAACAAAGTCAGAAATATTATTTGTGTCTGTGCTTACTTTTTTGATGTAGCCTACACAAGTTTTAATGTGTTTCTCTTTTTTTCCCATCAAACATGTTTGCCTCGGTGGATTCTGAATAATTGTATCCCAAAAAAGAAAGAAAGAAAACTTAATTCAATGGCGCATCAGGTCTCAAAGCCATATTAAAATGCTCACGTTTTTGATGAAGGATCTATTTTAATCTTAACATGCGGAGTTGCAAGTTGTCTGTGTAATCATTTAAATTATTGCATAATAGAGAGACTAGTAAATAGCGCAAGACTAGATTGGGGGGGATTTAGTGTGTTTTATGATGTTACTTATAAAGCTTTAGAATGCCATATTTTTAGAGGTTGAAAACTTAAAGCAAAGAAATTCTTGGCCATATATTTCTATGAATGTTGTATATGGTAATTAGGTATTTATGGAGATAGTCCTGCACAGCTGTGTACATTTAATTGCATTCAGATATGTACAACAGTCAAAAATGAACATTTATCTAGAGCATTTATATTGCCTAAATCCTTGTGTTGGAAACTAAGCCAAGAAAACTGATCCTACATTGCGAATTTTGTTTTATAAGAACCTCCAATGTGAATTTGTGTTGATGCTCAGCAGTCAAACTGAAACATGTTGCAGGTTCTAAGCAGCAGCAGTGACCCAGGAACTGAGAGATATTGCAAACGTGGTCCTATCACTGCTGCCCTTGAGCAAGGCACTTAACCCATGGTCGCTCTATAGGGACTCCATGTTCCTGCAATTGATCTCTTGGAAGTTGCATTGGATGAAATGTGACTGCTAATTGTAATTTACTAACAGCAAATCAACTTTTAAAATTTGTCCTAGGACACAAGAAACATGAATAGCTTTTCCTGTTAGCTTTTTAATGAATTTAAACCCCTGAGTACTAGAGCAGAAGACCTAAGAAAACTAAATAGCATGTTTTGAATTCATTTGCAATTTTTTTTTTCTTTTCTTTATGTAACATTATTAATTTTGTGGTTTGAATAGAAGTAGTAGTTGAATGTATGGAATGTATTTTGTGTGGTTAAAAGTTTTTCCTTCCCTCCACATATATTTTGTTCAATGAAGTACACAAAACCTGTTGACTGTCATCCTCAGATCATCTCCAACTCATACATTGTCCATTGTTGAAGTTTTGAACTGCTTAAATTAAACGTTACCTTTACCTTTGGTCTAAATTGTATTAATGTTAGTACAAATGGTGCTAATATTGATCTAGAGTCTAGACCAATGCTTCCCAAACAGGGCTACAGAATAACTGTGATGTGGTTTAATTTGTAGACAAATGTGATTTTTTTTTTTTTGCTTTCTAGTACTAATTCTTCATTTGCAAAAGTGTGTCCCGTTTGAAGCATGTGGCTCCTCTGCTGGCTTTAAAGACTGATTATATAGTAAGATGCAAAATCATTCAAGTTGTGAAATAACATTTAGTTGGTGAATGGCTTACTTCCCTACTATATAGTAGCCAAAAAAAACCTGACCAGAAACAAACCTCTGTGGCGCGCTGTTCAAGATCACAGTTGTACCTATGCAGGTAAAAGTAAAAGGCAAGATATGAGTTTAGGTTCTCATTAAAAAATAATAATTATTCAAGAAACCTGAATTGCACTGAGCGAGACACTTTTATTGCTCTTTCATAACTCAGGAAACTAATGGAGTCCTCATTATTTCATTTACATTTCCTAAAATAGGAGGGAAATAAAGGCAACAAACAATATATTTTTCCCAAAACCTCCTGTTTCAGCAAAAAATGCTTGAACACTAGATATTTAAACCGGTCTCCTTTGTGAGCGCCAGTTGTACTATCAAGAAATTAAACTGCCCCTGCAACTGGACTAAATGAATTGCTTAGACTGGTGCAGTTAAATAGGTAATTGGTCATTGGTAAAATCTGATTCATGCATTAAAACCTCAGTGCCTTTAATCAGACTAGATTTAAAAGGCAAGAGGCCAACCATCTTTGGGGCATTCAGATGGGATTGTGATCCACTTCACTGGGCACTTCTCCGAGGGTCAGAGCCGAACGGTAGAGTTGTCGCAGAAAAGCAAAGGACGCTGTCACTTTCATCAGAGGTAGAGTAGAAAAGAAGTGTATTTGTGTGTGTGCGTGGGCCCCGATCGCCACGCGACAAAAAGGCCAGAGAAAATTACAACACTTCAAATGTTTCCGACACCCCAACAGTGTCTGCGGCGGGAAATATGTAAATACGCTGCTAATCAAACGATCTGGAATTGCAAATGCCACAGCGAGGTCACGACCCAGAGCCTTGCTAATGGAGGGTTTAGGGCACCGGCGGAGCAGGTTGGAGTGACGGGTACCGCGGGGTTGAGAGCGGAGAGCGGACCCCTGGCGGACGACCTCTGCCTGCAGGCCCCTCACTATGCTGACAGTAATGAATGGAGAGAGCTGTTTATGCATATCAACGATTATTTACAGCCAAACAGCTGAGAGAGCGAACGCTAGTCATCAGGGACACAGACACTCTCTTCTGTTCGCTTTGCATCGCCATTGTCAAATGCGAAAGGCTGGCGGCCAAGAAAATTAAGTCACTCGATGAGGAGGCTTTCGGTATGGATGGAGCGATATTCTCCAAACACAAAATGTGCTGGCTAAAATTACAAAAATAAAGACATTTTAAGTAAAAGACATTGAAAATTCTGATTAACTTTTAAAATTGATTTATACCCCTCAGTTGTAAAAACTGTAAAATAAAATAAAAACAGAATAAATAAATTAATTCTTTGAGTTACCTTAAAGTCACATAAACACCACAGAACATGAATAGTGATTAGGGATGCACAGGTACATCAGTAACCAATAATTTCTTTTTTTGTCATTGTTTTTTCAATTACAATTAATCAGTACTGTTTATTTAATATTTTAATTTCCCCTATTTTTTACCTTTAGATTACGCTCAATCTAATCTCAATCTTTAAAAACACTAATAATGGGATGCCTACATTCATTTGTAGCATTTAAAACAACTGTCAGTTTTTAGTGTTTTAATTTGAATTTATTCAGATTAAATAGTATATAATTTTAATATCAGCCATGTATGGCTGTCGGCCATAAAATTAAAATAATTATTGTATTAGCCATAATTTAATTTAATTTTTTACTACTGCTGATAATGTAAAAAAAAGTCCTTTATTTGTATCATCTAAAGCTCACCTAAAGTAACTAAAAAAATAATTTTTAACACTTTTAAATATAATCTTTAAGTAAATTTCAAAATGACTATAAAATTCCATATGTAATGATGCTAAAATTCCTTTGTAGCATTCAAAATCATTTTTTATTTTTATTTTTTATTCGTTTTGCTAAAATAGTATAGCAATAGTAACCCATTCTGAACAGTCTTTACTTCTAAAGCTGAACATATGAATCACTTTGTTTTCCCTAACATACTTAAACTAGAGCCAGGTACATATAGGCTACCTTAAAGAAGAACAACCCCAATCTTACATATTAACTTGTCCTATATATTTTCCGACAGCCAGCAGCCTTTGCCTTTTAGCATCATTGTCAAAGCCTTATGGCTCCGTGTGATTCATGACTCATATCAGCAAAGGAGAGAATTAAACCATATCTAAAGTATGCTAATCAGAAGCTATTCAGTAGGTCTGCACTCTCAAAAGTGCAAATGGTTCCCAGGATATCCAGTGACATTTAACATCGCCCTCACTAATTTGTGCTTAATAGGCAAAAAGTGATTAGCATTAACGTTAAAGACATTTCATACATCCCCCTTCCCCATTAATTTTCTTTTTCTTTTTTTTTTTTTTACTGATACTTAACAGTTGATGTATGTAGCTGGATTCTACAGCTTAAACTAATGCTACGCTTTTGGCAGAAATCCTTCAGAAGTATAGCAAGAGTACCAGTATAGTCTGTTTTGTGACAAAAGGACAAAATAGCAAAGAGAAACAGAACATTTTAAAGAAGCTGTTTAAAGTAAATCCTGTAATACAGGGCCCGGGATATCAGTCAGGCACTCTTAACAAACCGTCCAGTGTTCGACTAAAGCGACTAGCGTGGGATTAGTCAAAAGAGCTAATTCTACAGCTCTTCCAGTTTGCCCAACAGATTCATGTGTCATTTGTTCATCCAGACCAGTTAAGATGAATGGACTAGTGAGGTTATAAACATTCTCATGGAGCATTTATAACTCTCATTTCCTCTTCTGTCAACGATGGTCTCTAAGCTGGTGGCACAAAGATCTCTAACAATGTCCTAGAACTGATGTTCTCAAAGTCAGAGCGGTGTAAGGACAATGGTTCAATCACTTCGCCTTCAACACAAACAACTCTTCAACCTTCTCTACACTCATGGGAAATGGGCAGAGCCAATGATGACGGACAGTCCAATCTTCCAACCAGACACCTCTAAGAAGGACATGACTCTGGCCCACTACCTTTGGCCCAGCCAGAGCTGAAGGTGATAAATGTATATTGGCAAAGTGTCTGTGCCAATGCTATTAGCCTGAAGGTTTAAACTCTTGTGTAATTTTCTTTAGGGACTTCTTTATAGGCAGAGCTCGCAGTATTGGCAAATGTGATAGGAAGACTCGACTCTCCCAGACCAAGTGGAGTGGAATGTCTGATTAGGCCTCTTCCCATGCATTGAGCCGGTAATGAGCGAGAAGAAGAA